AAACTTGCTTCTGTCGACGTCATCAAATTGCGATAAACCTCCATTAACATCTCGTCTTCGCCCAAATGGGTGAGCTGCTGTAAACAGATCTCAAAACGAAACTCGGTGAAGATCGACATGGGCATGTCTGGCGGGTGACTATAAAACATCATTGCCCGTTTGAATTCGCCACAAGCAGCAGCCGTCATCATAACCATCGGCAGAAGCGACAAGGGGACGATCTCGCCAGGCAGTTTCGTGATCATCGCCTCGCAGATCTGCATCACACTCTCAAAATCAGATGAATGATTGATCATGCAGCAGAGCATTCAGTGCATGAAAGTACGATACTTTCGTCACATGAACACCATGGCGCTGCATCGTATCTAGCAGTCGCAGCGCTCCGTCAGCGTCGCGAAGATGTCCAAGCGCAACAAAAATGGACTGAGCCAATCGCGGTGTCAAGAGGTAGAGGCTACAAGAGGTTTGTGCCTCCTTTTCATCGTCACTGTAGCAGTTGGAGAATATATCAACGACGTCGTGGAATCGCTGTTGGCTGTTTAAAGCCCAGGCGTAGTGCTCGCAGATGACGGACCAGTGCTTGCGTTGGCCTGCAAAGTGCGGGAACTCCTCTTCCCACACAAACACCACTGCTTCCACTTGTGCGTAATCCCGCCGTTGGCGCATGGCGTACAGCAAGCGGTCCAACTTGCCCGTTGCAGCTTTAAGCTGCCTCCTGGCTCGCTGGTAGCTCGTCTCTCTGGCAACCGCTACACGGGGATCTGCTAAATCTCTTGCCATTTTGTGTAAACTGTTTCTAGCTCTCGCGACATCTTTCGGAACAGGCGATTTGCTGGCGATAAGCGAGGGGAATTCCCCAACATTCGCCTGTGCATGCAGTATCACCTTCTGCTCCTTCATCACGTGCTGCTCCACCAACCTTTCCGTCTCCTTCCTCTTGGCTCCTGCATCAAACGTCGCATCGCCACCACCGCTGGCGTGCAGCTGCAGTTGCAAGTGGGTGTTAAGACTCTGGGGCTTGGCACCTGATGATCTTCTTTCACCGCGGACCGACGGCCGCTTGTCTGACGCTGCGTCATCGTCGACGTCTTTCTCGCGGCTTCGCACAGTATCCTGAAGCTTCATTGGCCGCGACAAACGCCGGGCCGTCGCCAGAGAGCGCAACCATGACGAGCGCCGCCGCGCCACCTCAGCCAGCATAGCGTTTCCAGCTACTGGTGTCACACACCAGTGGTGTGTGGCCAGTGTTAAGCGAACGT